GCTGGGACAGGTTAGAGCAGATGGCCTGCAAGATGTACATTTGCGTTACTAGCTTTGTGCCTACTGACATGAGGAAGATATTCTCAAGGAAGGAGCAAAGAACATACTGCTAATTAAGAATCCGGCCATGAAAATAAATTCAGTATGAAAGAGAAAGGTGCTGGTATTCATCATCAGTTGTTTCTGTAATGTACAACTCAGACCCTAGGGAATTCTATAAATGTCTGCAAACCTTCACACACAGACTTAATCTGTCTGATCACAAGCTTGATTCAATCTCAGGGGAAAATGAAGAGCAGGCAACATTCATTCTCTGTATAACTACCAGTCGCAATGCAGGCTTTCAAATTTTCTGGGTCTGTTTAGCTGTTTCTGTAGCAAATTTCACCTGTAGCCCAATTTCAGCTATAAAACCAAAATGCATTCTTCCAGTTTCCCACTTTCAGTCTTTGAGTGCTCTCACATACGCACGACAACAGCTGCTCACGACCCGTCTTTTCTAGGCACGTTGGCCCCTTCCCTTCCAACCACAAGAGACTGCTTTGTAGCTGCAGCTGTCAAAAAGGGATGCACTTGCTGATGAGCAGTTGCTCCTTTTGGTGCAATCTTTTGAAGGAGGGGGTATGACTCCTTGGAAATTGGACTGTCCTAAGACCTGGGTTTTATGGCTGTTGAAGGCTTCACCTTTGTATTCATGGCTGATACTGCATACATCAACTCCATCTGTCCTGGTTTTCTAATCAGGAGAAAAATTAATGTGTAAGAGAAGAGGTAAAAGAAAGTAAACAGTACCTCTGATTCTGCAGTCCTTCTCAACCACATGTTCCACCTGTGACTGGAGAAACCTTCTACTAAAGCTTTTGCAAAACTGATGGTATACCAAAAGGCACTTTGTCCTCACTGAACATATTTCAAATGAACCGAAGTTTTTGTTGGAAAATTCCCAACCTTCTCATCTACCAAGTATTGCTGTGGAGAAAGGAAGAGATGCAGAGGGAAAGACAAGACTTCCTACAGCTTGTAAACCCCACTGAACACACACTCAGGCTCCACTCAGGTGGTTTTGCACTCCTGAAACTTTAAGGACTCAGTCAGTTTTGCTTGTAGGACGTAAAATTTCTTTTATTATGAACATAAAAATTACTGTTTTCATTCTACATTTTTCCCCTACCCAGCGAGGGATTTTCTCATTACAAAAAATGCTTAATCCAAGTAAAAAAAGATATAAATTTTTATATATACATACAT